GTTGGGGGCAATATGCTGACTCTGTAAACTGCTTAGAGAGGGCTGAAAGCCCTATGAAGCAGTATATAAGTCTAACTGCTATTGCTATTGCTAATCCTAAGCAGACACTGGATGTAAGTATGTGTGTTAAAGTTTTGTTTCCCCCTTTCCTGCAATACTTTTATAGATGCTATATCTGGCCACCATTGATGCTCTTCTCTTCATAATGTTATTTGTCTACTCATAATCAGCAGTTAAATTCAGAAGGATAGTAGAAGAAAGAAAGCATTCTCCAAAGCAGGAAAAAAACAGGGAGATTCTGGTAATACCTTTTCCACCTAACCAATTGTACTAAAAGGCATCCACCAGATTTAAACTAAGTTTTTAAAAAGGGAAAGGAAGGAATAAAATGTGCAAGGAAAAGAATGAAGGTGAAAAATGGAAAAGTAAGAATATAATAAAGAGAATGTGTGTGTGTGTGACTTCTAATCTTCATTATAAATGTAAACAAATTTAGTGACTCTTCACTCCCTCTAAGATTACAAACATTCATCTCTTCATCCCATATCCCATTTCTTATAAAACCTCATCTTTTCAGTCCTGCTATCAGCAGAAAGTCCATAAAGTATTGCCAGAACTAACATATCTTGTTTTAACCTTGATCAAATAAATCCAAATGTTATATTCCTTCCTTCTCCTTCTAACAGCCTTCATCTTTAGTTCATTCAAATATTGTCATAGGATTCTATTTTATTTCTTCTTTGTTCCATTGCACAGAGTTATTCAAGGCTTTAATAAGCCTCTTTTATAAAACCACTAGGAAAAAAATATCCAGGTAACTTTCTTGCTTTGGTTTTTATATTTTTTAAACCTCAGCCAATTTCTTTTAGAGATCCAGTGAAACATCCTTTTACTAAGTAATTCTCTTGGTTTGTCAGTTGTAAATCCACTTTCAATACTATCTCTTATCTTATCAGATAATTATTGGTCTACATCTTTCATTTTGTCAATAACATCTTTTGGGAATAGTCTTTCAACAGAAGCAAACATATTTACTGACATTATTGATATAGTGGCTATTAATTTCTGACTCCATTCTTTAAAAATCTCATTCAGAATTTTCATTCTTATAATTCTTTGCATCATTTTGAAAGTTTGTATTTATTTTTCCTCTATTTAAAATCTTTGATACTTTTAGTTTTTTAATTTCATTGTGGGTGCTTGTATTTCTTTCTTGAGGTTATTGTTAATTGCACTTTAATAATTTTTAATCTATCTCTCTAATTGCTAACACCTTTTATCATTGTTTTAAAATTACTCTGGTTTCTCATTTTTTGCTAAGATTAAGCTTATTTGCATCTGCTATTTTTGGTGTGGTTGATTTTTCAGGGAGAGACAAATCTCCCAAGAGTACTTTGTGTTCAGTATTTTTTGTTCTTTAATCTCTTTAACAGAAAATTAAGAGAATAACAGAGTTGGAAAGTCTTTCTAGTCCAACTCCCTGCAAGAAACTTTATACCATTTCAGACAAATGGTTGTCCAATCTCTTCTTAAAACTTCCAGTGTGGGGGACACCCACAACTTCTGGATGGAAGTGGTTCCAAAGATTAATTGTTCTAACTGTCAGGAAATTTCTCCTTAGTTCTAAGTTGCTTCTTTCCTTAATTAGTTTCCATTCATTGCTTCTTGTCCTGTCTTCAGGTGCCTTGGAGAATAGGTTGAGCCCTTATTTCATAGGTTAAAATGCATACAACAATTCATACATGTTTATGTGAATTCTTTTAATTTGGGGATGTTTGTGTTTTTTATTTATTTACCAAACTTATATATTCATCCATCTTACAGAACAAATAACTTGTGTGAATGGGGTTTTTTATTAGTTACATTTTTGTAAGTAAGTGCGCTAATACAAGCATTTTTATTTGCTGTTCACCAGCATGTGTGCTTTTGAGTGCTTCTTCCATCTGGTATACATATTTTGGCATAGACAGGTTGGAGAGTTATATTGCAACAGCTAGAGAAAGATAGCCAAAAAAAGTACAAATGTTTTTTCCAATGTGCATGTTGTTTCAGGAAATGAGACGTAAATTAAGTTCCCATTCAAATGTGAACTGAATGAACTTCTGTCCCCTTCTCATCTTTATTTATGGGGCATAATTAAGTATCACTATAGGTGCCAATTTGGGCAGAGACAGTAGTTACTAAATGCCAGAGGTAATTGAGTAAAGGGATGAACGCAGCGATAAAAAATGGCACCTGTAATATGCTGCCAGAGGCAACCAATTCACCTTAGCTCATAAAAAGGCCAGCTGCGTTTCCAAACCACATTGGAAACCATTGGTGGCAAAGTTAACCTGTCACTGGATCAAATGATTCAGACAGCTTGTGTAAGGGATAACAACTGTCCAGCCATACATGGCAAGATTTGTGTGGTTCGACTTTCAATATGGCAAATTTTGAGGGGCCTCTTCCTCCTTCTTTCACAGTCACCTGTTATATCATCAGGAAGTTATTCAATCTGAACAGTGGCTCTGGTCCTAGTCACCCGCTAAGAGAGATAAAGGCGGGGTGTTAAGAAGCACTTCCTGATTAACCCAAGATTGGCTAATCCGAGCCAGGATTGCAAATAAAAGCTAGAAGGGGACTGGGAAGCAAATCATTGAATTCCCACATCTTGGGGGTAAGAACTGCCGATACTTCCTTGCTGTCTCTCTATTTGATTTCAAAGTCTGTACAAATGTATGTTTTTTTCCAGGAGCATCATGAAGAAGATCTCTGCTGGAGGCAGAGGAAATTGGTCGTCAGAAGATTTCAAACTTGACAGCTGCTAATTCAATCATTTTATTCCAGTAAACGAACAGGACATTTGCAGCCTTGATTTATGGAACTCGACTGATGTGGGACAGATGTAAATTGCCATCTCTAGCCAAGGAGTTGGTTTTAGGAGCATAAGAGTTCGGCAATGATTTGGGATGGGGAGGAACAGATAAATGCAGGGGGATTATGCAACAGAGCTGGAATTTTCTCTTTCCACCCTAGATTTTTTTTTGGGGGGGGGGTCCCTTGTTTTTGCTAAGCAATGCTGCTATAATGCTGTATTTAAGGGTTATGCAATTAGGTTGGATAAGGAGACGCAGTGGCTCAGTGGCTAAGACGCTGAGCTTGTTGATCAGAAAGGCCAGCAGTTCAGCGGTTTGAATCCCTAGCGCTGCGTAATGGAGTGAGCTCCTGTTATTTGTGCCAGGTTCTGCTAACCTAGCAGTTCGAAAGCACGTAAAAAATGCAAGTAGAAAAATAAGGACCACCTTTGGTGGGAAGGTAACAGTGTTCCATGCACCTTCGGCATTTAGTCATGCCAGCTACATGACCACGGAGTCATCTTCGGATCGTGCTGGCTCTTCGGCTTTGAGACAGAGATGAGCACCGCCCCCCTAGAGTCGGGAATGACTAGCATATATGTACAAAGGGAACTTACCTTTATCTTTAGGCTGGGCTAGGCTAGGTTAAGTTAGGTTAGGTTAGAGATTCCTATTTTTTTATCTAAAACCCTGGAATGAAATGCAAAAAAATATTTAGGCCTCAGCCATCTGGTTGGGAAATTGCTCCTCCTCTGTGGAGTTCTTTGTCACTTTTGTGGTTCTTTTATTCCTGTATTGCATCGCAGCCTTAATACTGTATTTTGCTTACATGCACTTGTATTGAGGTGCTGGAAAACTCCCTGTGATTGTAAGTCAGCATGATCTGGCTTTTAAACTTGCTTTGCTGTCATTTGTAGCATTGGGTGAAGGTATGTGTGAGTGCCGTTGATTTGCGAGGTTTATTTATTGAGCATGTAGATTTATTTTTTTATTTATATGCCATCTTTTTTATTTTTATAAGCAACTAGCTGATAACCCTGCGCTGGCTGGGTATTTATTTATCCCAACCCTCCTTCCATTAACGTTGCTGCAATTTCTAAAGTTGGATTTTCCCCCTTACCAGAGGGAGCCCCCTTGTGGAGTACTGTGAAGCCATTACCATGGCAACGCTACGGCGCTATACAATAGAAGCCATTTTAAGGCAGTACGGTAGAATCCATTTAAGGTAAAACAGGCTGTATCTTAACAGAACACACACACCGAGAGGTGTTAGGGATGTATTACCCCTACAGTATTTGTTTCCAGAAAGTAAGTAATCTGTGTACCAGATTTGCTTGAAATTACTCAAGGCATTCCAGAGTTATGCTGGAACACACACACACACACACACACACACACACACACACAGCGATATATATATATATATATGGTCAGTTTTCATGCCTAAGGTTGGATCTCCTGATTTCTAGTTGGGTGCCTTCACTACTAGAGCAAACTTGAGTCTATTTGTTTGGCACCTCAAAATGGCTAGAATGCCACATTTCGGCTTTGGACAAAAATGGATGAGGGGCTTCTGAGGAGCTGAAGGGGCTGACTCCAGCTTTCCGACCTCAGGTGGCCCCCTTTTTTTGGGAAGCACCATTTAGAAATCTATGATTCTTTACTTTTCCTGCAAAATCAAAGATTCTATGTGTCCGTTTTCTGGGAGATTCATGCCGGCTGAATGTTTTGGCAATCCAAGATGGTGGAATTTTATCCTCTTAAATTTCTGAATATTCTTGTTTCCAACAGATCTTCTTCCCGGGAACTATTATTGTCGTTAAGAACCATGTTGCATCTTTTCTTCAAGTTACTGCCTGCCATTTTGCTCATGGCATCTTCAGGTAAAGAACATGGAAACATACATGCTTTTTCTTTAGATACAGGGAATATATTTGAATGTGAGTTCAGATGACGGGTGAGGTGAATCCAGGATCTATCCAAGGACAGAAAGACAGACAGATAGACACGAATCTCTTGCATTGCACTATAGGTAAGGGCTAGGTCTCCCACAAATGCCTTTCTCCCATATTTCATAAATGGAAACATCATAAAAACAAATATAATTATCGTGTTGACCCCTTTAGGCAGAGAGGTGGGGAGTTGAGTAGCAGGTGAAGTCCTTTTAATCATACCTGACATTCCTGTCGGAGGGAAGGGCTCCCTTTTCAGGCAAAAAAAAATGAGCTGCTTCCAAAATTGAGGAATCAGGAAGCTTCCTGCATACCCACTTTGGAAAACTGAGGTGAGACAGCTTACACTGAAGGCTGGGAGGACTTGTTCAAGGCTGAATGGAGACATCAGACAGCAGACCTTTACTTTGCTGTCTTTTGTGTTTCTTCTGTTGTCACAACACACACTGTCACAACACACATGGGCACACATACACACACACTCTCTTCCTCCCTCATTAATATTTTTTTGTCTTTTAATGATCCCGTAATCCCTTGTGGGGTGGAGTCGGGGCAACTGAATGGGGCTGACTATTTACTGGCTGGATGCCCTTCCTGTTGCCAATGCAGAGTTCGCAGCAGATATATTCTCATTGCGCCTAGAGAGAGAAATATCTGCCTCTACCTAGGATCGAACTCACAGAGCCTCCTGATTGTGAGGCGAGAGCTCCACCTCTAGGCCAACGCGCCACTCTTCCTCCTTCATTAATGCACTCTTTCAACTCAGCAAGCCATGAGTCTGAAGTCCCTGATGATGAAGCTGAATCTCAAAGAGGCTGGCATTTTCTCTTCACAGCAAGTAGCAACCAGATGTGATTTTTCTGTAGGAAAAGGTTTGCCCTTGCACAGGTGGTCCCTCACCTGAATGCTCTGTGGAGATTTTTTATTTATTTATTAGAAAAACTTATATGGACTCCCAACTCACTGATGGTGACGCTGGGCAGCTTACAGAAATAAAACTCTAATACAAAAGTCAATAACACCCCCTCCACACCTTGGCAACAACAATTAAGCCAACCGTTTGATGGGCGTCATATAATCCTGGGCTTCAGACAAAGAAAACAGCTAAAGAACAGGGGTCGACTTGGGAGTAAGGCAGTGGTGGATTTCAAAATTTTTTAGAACCTCTTCTGTGGGGGTGGCCTGCTTTGTGGGAGTGGCTTGCTGGCCATGTGACTGGGTAGGAGTGGCTTGCCAGCCATGTGACTGGGTGGGCATGGCCAACTTGTGATGAAACCCACTTAACAACACTCTTGCTTAGCAACCAAAATGTTGGCTCAGAAACTCTGGCAATTGAAGCACTCAAGTCTTAAAGCTGTCAACTTACAAGACCCTTGCACTCCTAACCCTTTAGGGGGGAAAAAACCCAGGGGTGTTCAAACTTGATAGCTTTAAGACTGTGGACTTCAACTTCCAGAATTCCTCCACTCGCTCTTCATCTTGATGATGTGCGGACGGGTGGGGGGGGGAGGGAGCTGGAACAGGTTCTAAACAGCACTGTAGATTTGTGGAACCTCTTCTATAGAAGAGGTTAGAACTGGCAGGAACCCATACCTGGAGTAAAGCCACAGGTGTATGATGATAAAGCCACAGGTGTATGATGAAGAGGAAATAAAGGAGGAGCTAAAGGGGAGTGGAGTTTGTAGGAGGCAATTAGTTCGCTTAATTGGTTCATGACTCTCTGAGACTCTTGTCAAGTTTTGCAGATATCAGCCTGGCAACTCTCCAAGCCAGATAAGGTCTGTGACTGTAAATCCTCCCTTGAAAGACTTTGCTGGATGTGAATGAGCAGAATTCACAGTCAATTAATAAAAGGGTTTTTTGTCAGGACAAGGAGTTTGCTTCAGGCTCTTGGGAAGCCTGGGTCAGAACAGGATGATAATCCACAGGCAGAGAGCCACCGTCAAGAAGACCCTTCTTCTTGGTCCCACCAGATGGAACTCCTTAAGAGAAGAGATCTGTAACATAACCTCTTGAGATCAAAAGGGAATCTCGTCCTTTCTTAGAACTAGGTTCCTTGATTTCTGACTTTAATGCATCTTTCAGTTCTTCTGGGATTCTTTCTTCCTTGGTTTGCCGTTTATTCATTTTTATTCTCTCTTCTTTTTTCAGCTGCTGCAGCGGAAGGAGAAAGGGTCCTGGGGGGCAAACCATGCCTGCCCAATTCCCAGCCGTGGCAGGCTGCCCTATTCTCTGGATGCCGGCTGATCTGTGGAGGGACCCTCATTCACCCATCTTGGGTGGTCAGTGCCGCCCACTGCAGAAAGTCATCGTAAGTTCAAGCAGGGTAAAGGATGTTGGGTGTGCTGTTAATTTTAACAAGACTATGTAGAGATCATAAAGGCAAGAAAGGCTGAAGGGAGGGAATGTGTTTAGCCCTGGGCGTAGAAGAGTAAGGAAATGCTAGCACTTGGCCACATGGAAGGACGCAAATATTATTTTGTCTTGCCTAAGAGGGAGGAACTTGGATTTAATAGGCATACATAGCAAAGACAGATTGTGGGTTAAATTGTTGAAGAGCAGCCTAGTGCCAATAAAAGCTTCATCAATGAAATTAATTGTATAGGGCCGTGATGGCAAACCTATGACATATGTGCTACAGGTGGGACATGTAGCCATTTCTTAGGGCATACGAGGCATTGCCCCATCAGCTCCAGCGCACATGTGCGCGCTGGCCAGCTGATTTCTGCCTTCATTTCTGGCCATTTTTTGCCCTCCGGAGACTTCTCTGAAACCAATGCGCAAACCGGAAGTTCAAGAATGGACTTCCGGGTTGCCCGTAGGGCCGTTTTTCACCCTCCAGAGGCTTCAGATGGATATTATGTGACCAATATTAATATTATGAATATTATTGCTTTTATTATGATTGCTATTTCTCAAAAGTCACTGTACTCAGACAACACACTGTTTATGTAGACATTGAATTTTTTTATATTTCATAAAAAACTTTTTTTAAAAGAGAGAAAGAAAGAAAGATGTCCGTTTTGCCACAGGGCAATTTTCCAGCAAGAGTAGCTAATCTTCTCATGTTCTTCCAGCATATTCCCCGTGCGTCTTGGAGAACACCATCTCAGGCGCATAGACTGGTCGGAGCAACTCAAGTTATCATCAAAAGCCATTGTGCATCCGGAATACAACCGGAGAACCTTGAACAATGATATCATGCTGATTAAACTGCTGACCCCGGTTACCTTAAATGACAAAGTCAAAGTTATGGATTTGTCTACCACCTGTCCGGAGGCTGGCACCAAATGCAGCATTTCAGGATGGGGTACAACAAGCAGCCCACAACGTATGTTGACAGATAAACTCAGTTCTCATATCATTCTACATGCCGATTGGCCTAGTGATCGTTTAGTGAATAAATCTGAGAGATTACATTGGTGCAACATGCAGAACCAAAATAGAAATACTGTGGTTTAAAGGTGGAGTATGCATGACTTCTGGTTTAATCATAGACATATATTGTGTTTCATAGAGCAAGTCGAATGAAAGTGGAGGAATGTTGTCAGTTCTGGGAGGCAATCCTAAGTATTAAGGGATGCTCAGATGTTTTGAACAGAACAGAATAGAATAACAGAATTGGAAGGGACCTTGGAGGTCTTCTAGTCCAACCCCCTGCTTAGGCAGGAAACCCTACACCACTTCAGACAAATTGTTATCCAACATCTTCTTAAAACCTCCAGTGTTGGAACATTCATAACTTCTGGAGGCAAGTTGTTCCACTGATTAATTGTTCTAAGTGTCAAGAAATTTCTCCTCAGTTCTAAGGTTGCTTCTCTCCTTGATTAGTTTCCACCCATTGCTTCTTGTTCTACCTTTAGGTGCTTTGGAGAAGAGCTTGACTCTCTCTTCTTTGTGGCAGCCCCTGAGATATTGGAACACTGCTATCATGTCTTCCCTAGTCCTTCTTTTCATCAGACTAGACATAACCAGTTTAGAAAAATACTTTAGGCATCTGCAATGCTTAAGATTCCCCCCTTGCCCCTTAGAACTCCTAAATAAGAGGCTCTGATGTTGACCCCCATCCTGCTGGGCTTATGGCAATGAAGGTCACAAAAGAGACCACAATTGCTTGCAGATTTTGCCACATTGGGATAGTTCCATGGGATGGTCCAATCACACCCAAAAATTATTTTAAAGCTGTACCAGAACCCAACTTTACCTTTTTGACCTCTTTTAAACTATCAAAATTAATGACTATCATACGACAATGAATTCTACAAGTTAAACAAGGTAAGATGCTTCCTTGTTGTCTAGTCTTAAATCTCTGACTGGTCTGTTCCAAAGACAACCTTAGACTTAGGCATAAGAGGAAGGAGAAGAATGCCACTTCGTCTGTTTATCTTCTCCTTTATTGAATCCCGTCTTCCTTCGCAGCCAAATATCCAGATGTTCTACACTGTGCCAACGTCACCATCATCGATCACAATGTTTGCCGATCGATTTATCCCAATTATTTCAGTGAAAATATGGTCTGTGCTGGCAAGATGGAGGGAGGAACAGATTCTTGCCAGGTAAAAGGAGTTGGGGGGTCAGTGATGGGGTTCATTTTTTTTTACTACCGGTTCTGTGGGTGTGGCTTGGTGGGTATGGCATTGCTTGGTGAGTGAGGCTTGGTGGGCGTGGCAGGGGAAGGATACTATAAAATCTCCATTTCCTCCCCACTCCAGGGAAGGTTACTGCAAAATCCCCATTTCCTCCAAGCCAGCTGGGATCAGGAGACAGAAAATAGATGTGGGTAGGGCCAGTTCTCCAAACTACTCAAAATTTCCACTACCAGTTCTTCAGAACTGGTCGGAACCTGCTGAATACCACCTCTGGTTGGGGTCTGTTTAGACCAGTGTTTTTCAACCACTGTGCCGTGGCACACTAGTGT